GGCCCCATATCCCTGTATATACCTAGATTCTACCCTGCACAGAAAAGATGGGTATAAAGGCATCAGTTCTTTAGCTATGGATAGTTGTGGACTTCTTGTTCTTAGAAGTGGAGATCATGGTGTGATGAAGTATGAGACCTGCTTGGTCAAAAGGGGTGGGACTTTAATCTGAATTATTTTAATTAGAGTAAAGAAAGGAACAAAATATCCATTCATGTACCTTTAAAAATCTTAGCAAGAAATGTATCTGTTTTATATTTAGAACAAATATATAAAAACACCCAAGTTTGACGAGAATGACTAAGCATGAATTAAATACAAATATTGATTTAAGAAAGTAGCTAGGAATTTTAATCTTTAAAAGTGTTTCATAGTTTGCATGAAGATTCTATGATTCAACTTCAAAATACAGATTTAATGGGTTAAATCCTCCCAATCGTCTAATCCAGAGGTTCCAGGATTTAGGGATTACCCCAGTAAAGTGTTTTGTTTCTTTCCAAAAACACCTTAGACACAACTGGGTAATCCCTAAAACCTGGACTGTTAGGGGGTACTTGAGGACCAGGTTGGGAACCACTGCTCTAATCCTTTATGATACTGTTTAAAACCTCTTCTATTGCAAGAACTCTATTTACTAATAATTCTCAACATAAAATGTAGTTGTAGTTCGTCCTATTGTAAAAACATTGACTTAAAATAGGTACTGGTCTATTTCCCTAAGTATCTTTTAATAAATATTATCTTCAAGACAGATAAATTATATTTTAATCTCAAACAATACAAACTCTCAGCTCATATTCAGATAATATAATGGGCCGAAATATTGCACAGAATAGAAGTCCTATGCACAAATAAATCTTGCAAAAAACAAAACAAAACATATAGCACATGAGAATGTGTGTCACTGGCTATGGTCTGCTATCTAAGGCAGAGAACAATAATGTAGGGCTGTGCCCATTCCCTGCACTGCAGTACAATGTGTCAGCATTTGCTTGGGTTGTTTGTACATGTATGGGATAATATTTGTCTTCTTCTGTGTAAAGTTAACTCCTCAGATAAACAGATTCCTCCCATAATTCTGTGGCTAATCAGAGTTTGCTCTTTGCTCATAACTATCTAGAGTTAATCTAGGTAGGACAAAGATTTTATAAATAAACCATGTTCAGATGTATAGTTACATTACCTGCCCATGGTATAACAATATCAATAGATCAATACAGAAAACTGCCTGCGTTTGGAACCTGATGTTTCCTTAATAATATAGCGACTGTAGCACATGATCACATAATTTTAACTAAAAGGTACAGGAAGTGCAAGAAGGAAAATATTTTCTAATCACAGTTTACTGATGCTATCTGCATACTCACACACAGACACCGGCACATTGATCACATGTTTTGTCTGTGAAAAAAAAAGATCGGAATTCATATAAATATGTAAATATAACTTAAACTGCTTAAATGATTTATCTGCAAAAATGCCTGTATACTTTATTGCTTACTTGTGTAGATATAACATTTGGGAAGTTTTTCTAACAGATTTGAAACTTCTGAAAAGCGTATCCAAAAATATTAAATCAAGGCCATTGATTTTTAATCCTCATACTACCCTACATTTAAACATTAACACCTGTACAATCATTGCAATAACCATGAAAACTCTAACATTTACACTAGCATTGCCCTAACTTAAAAATATATGGTAATATAAAAGCCGCATAACAGCATAGGTGTTATTTAATCATTATTATTATTATTATGTTATTTATATAGCGCCATCAAATTCCACAGCGCTTTACAATGGGTGGACGAACAGACATGTAGTTGTAACCAGACAAGTTGGACACACAGGGACAGAGGGGTTTAGGGCCCTGCTCAATGAGCTTAAATGCTAGAGGGAGTGGGGTAAAATGACACAAAAAGGTAAGGATAGTATTAGACTAGTGACAGTTGCAGAAGAGAAATCAGTCAGAAGCCATTAACAGTTTAATTGGTACGCTTTTATGAAGAAGTGGGTTTTTAATGATGGAGGAGAAAAATCTCAATAAATCTTGAAGGCGAGCATCAGAGGTGGGAGTACGGACAGAAGATAGACGTAAGTCTTCAGCAGATCGTAAGGGCCTAGATGGGACATACTTGTGCATAAGGGAAGATAGATAGGTGGGAGCAGCATTATGTAGCGATTTGAAAGCAAGAACCAGAATTTTAAATTGAGCTCTATATTTTAGAGGAAGCCTATGTATGGACTGACAGAAGGGTGAGGCATAGGAGGTGTGGGCGGACAGGAAGATGAGCATCGCTGCCGCATTCATTATGGACTGTAACGGCGCAAGTTGGGAGCACGTAAGACCACTGAGAAGTGGATTACAGTAGTTAAGGCGAGAAAGGACAGTGGAATGGACCAACACCTTAGTCGCATCTGGCGTTAAGTAGGGGCGGATGCGCGCAATGTTTTTGAAATGGAAATGACAGGATTTGGTGATAGATTGAACATGAGGCTTGAAGGAGAGGTTGAAGTCAAAGAGAACACCTAGGCAGCGAGCCTGCGTGGTGGAGCTGATGGTAGCACTGTTGACTTGGAGGGAGACAGATACAGGAGTAACAACACTTGAGGGAGGAAAGACCAGAATTTCAGTTTTGGTCAAGTTTAGTTTAAGGAAGTGGGCAGCCATCCAGTTAGAAATAGCAGAGAGGCAGTTAGAGACACTAGTCAAGAGGGACAGGGAGATCAGAAGTGGACATGTAGATTTGCGTGTCATCCAGATAGAAATTATATTGGAAGCCAAAGGAGCTAATGAGTTTACCAAGGGAGGCAGTATAGATGGAGAACAGTAGGGGACCAAGGACTGAACCTTGGGGGACACCAACAGAGAGGAGTTGGGGAGAAGAAGCAGAGCCAGAGAAAGAAACTCTGAAAGAGCACTGGGAGAGGTAGGAGGAGCAATATCTTGTAGACCTATATTGCGGAGGAAGAAGCTGTTGATGATCAACAGTGTCAAAAGCCTCAGACAGGTCATGGAGAATTAGGATAGAGTAGTGACCATGAGATTTTGCAGCGAGTAGATCATTGGATACTTTGGTCAGTGCCGTTTCCACATAGTGCTTAGCGCGGAAACCAGACTGAAGTGGGTCTAGCCCTGCGGAGTGCTGAAGATTAGGAGCAACCGTGCAGAGATCCGGTCTGATTGTGATATTACACAGGACATATGTAGCTACAGTATTGGAGGTTCCAGACCCTGTAATCTTTGATGTTCTCAGCCAAGGAGACGGGGCCGGTATTGTGGAGACTTGCAATACATGGGCTACAAGTAATAAGAGACAGTATATGCCTCTGATGAAGTAGGGCGCCCCTACGAAACGCGTAAGGCGATCTATCTGTTTGCAACTGGGCGGAGTGATTCAAGTCTTCACTACTGCAGCCTGTCATGTTCCGGACCTGGTATCTGCACTATCTGCACTTTTCCCCGCGAGTGCCCAGCCCACCGCTCTATGTGAGGTCAGAAGGCAAAGCAGCAAGGAACACACAAGCCGTCCTCACCGGCTACAAGGGAGAAGAAAGCTTTAAACAATCCACAACCATCCGGGTCTGGATTACAGGTTTTTTACTTTTTTACAATCAAGACTTTACAGTTCACCTACCTACTTCAGTATTGCACAGTTATTTTTAATAATTTTAATATTTTTTAAAACTTTTCGATTATCAATAAAACTGCTTATTTTTCATCAATCCAGCTTCAATCAAATATTTTCCCAACAACTATTACCTAACATTACCTTATTGCATTAATTTAGAGCATTTAGTTTCATTTGTACTAAACTGCCATATTTATTTTTGGGACTGCAGATATCTTTATACAAGAAAGTAGATTAATGACATAGATACCATTAACCCCATATTGTCATTACAAGTTGGGACTAGGTGATCTATGCAACATTCATTGAATATTTAATCCGGATATTATTTTTGGACATTTTTTTCTATACCAATCAATAGTAATTAACCTATTGGTCATTATTTTATAAATGAACCATCTCATATGCTATGTCATAAGTTTACATTTATATGCTCTACTATTTATCTTTTAATGTTTTTATTGCTTGTCATTTCAGTTGGTCCTATTAGGTCACATTTGAGTTTTTTGTTCTATAAGGTATTTTATTTTAATTTTATTTTTATCCTATTTTATCTTCATTCATTTATTCAGAGATTACTTTTTAGCTCCTGGAGACATTCATTTTTTTAATGTCTATCTTTCTTCTATACTCTGTAGGATTTGGTGAAATCCTTTCTTTCCAGTTTTAGAGCTTAAGTGTATTCTGTTTTTATTCCCTCTTATTTTTCTGTTATTATCATATTTCTATATATTTGTATATATTTTTAATATTGCTAATACCAGATCATTGCATTATCTCGAATAATCAATTCTTTAAAGGATCTTGGATGCAAAAGGCAGTAGCGAGATAGCACGATAGTTGGATGGGGAGTTAGAGTCAAGATTGGGCTTCTTTAGAATTGGTGTTACAGTGGCATGTTTGAAGGGCGATGGAAATATACCAGAGGAGAGAGAGAGATTGAGAATTTTAGTGAGAGGTGGAGAAAGAGAAGAAGACAGAGTACAGATGAATTGGATCTATGGAGCAGGTGGAGGGGCGGGAGGACTTGGGCAGAGCAGAAACCTCTTCCAATGTAGCGGGTGCGAATGAACATAGAACAGCAGAGGGAGTGAAGTTAGGGGAAGAGGAAATATAAGAGATCTCTTCTCTGATTGTAGAGATTTTGTCAGTGAAGTGAGTTGCAAAGACTGAGGCGGTCAAGTTAGTAGGTGGAGGAGGAACAGCAGGGCGAAGAAGAGAGTTAAATTTGTGAAATACCGTATTTTTCGCTCCATAAGACGCACCTCACCATAAGACGCACCTAGTTTTTAGAGGAGGAAACCCAGAAAAAAAAATATTCTGAACAAACTGTTCTATAGTGTTTCTTACCATGGGACAGTTTGTTCAGAATATTTTTTTTTCTCCCCTGTCCCATAATGATCTTTAACCCCCCTTTCCTCTGTCCCATAGTGATTGTTAACCCCTCCTACCCTGTCCCATAGTGATTGTTAACCCCTCCTACCCTGTCCCATAGTGATTGTTAACCCCTCCTACCCTGTCCCATAGTGTTCTTTAACCCCTCCTACCCTGTCCCATAGTGTTCTGATCCCATAGTGTGTCCCCCTCCCATTGTCCCATAGTGCACTTTCCCTCCCATAGTGTCCCCCCCTGCCCTTGTCCCATAGTGTCTCCTCCCCTCCCCTTGTCCCATAGTGTCTCCCCTTGTCCCATAGTGTCCCCCCTCCCCTTGTCCCATAGTGTCCCCCCCCCTTGTCCCATAGTGTCCCCCCCTCCTTGTCCCGCTAGTGTCTCCCCTCCTTTCTCCCATGGTGTCTCCCCTCCCTTTC